AATAGTCTAACCTCACCACTTGAGGCAACAACTGCTTCAATATGTCATAGTACTCATGTGCAACATGGTTTCCATGGCAATATTTTCAGAAGTTGGACCATAACTTAAACCTATTGATTGAGCATTTGGGAGAATCTCATGTTATATGGAGGGTGTTTCCTTGCAGATTCATCCTCCATGAATTATGATCTGTATGGATGCTAGCATGATGGACTTGGGTCATCAGCCCTCATTTTAGAAAGTGAGCTGGATGTGGTCACTATGAGCATTCATCACCAATAAGTCTCTTTGATACATGATGGCAGCCAATATTGTGTGGCAGAAGAATCAGCAGAGTGTGAGATATATGCACCTTGTATCACTCTTTCCAGCAGTGATGGTAGCAACAAGGTCTTCATCAAGATTTTATGCTTTGATTTTGTGTTAAAATTTCAGATATTCTAAATATAGTATCAGAATGAGGTATTATTTTGCTCTGCTACAAAACATTTTATTATAGATAATTTTCACATTAAAATGCTGTGTGATAAAAGACTGACCTGTAATGACATGGGCATTACTTTCCTGGATGTTTTCAGCACAGGGAATCATTGTTCAAATTTTGTTACAATTTCATGATAGTTATCTGTATTTATATCAGTTATTGTATTCAACATAAATTTGAATGATGTTGTTGTTTGCCTGAAATGTGAACTCAGAACTGTGACTGTTTCCAGTCCTGCCTGCAGCAGAGACATCTGTGGCATAAATATTTGGATTCTGTGTTAAAGGTTTTAAGTTGCATATCATTTACATCCAGTACAACTTAAATGAATATTACTGTGTGACTAAATTGTTATTCAGTGTTGTACTAAGATTTCTTTTCTAAAACTTTGATGTAATATTTTGATATGCATGCTTTCCTTGGGTTTTCTTTATAAATTGTTGATGGAATATTTCCTCAAGTTAAAAGTTAATACCCAGGTATGCTTGGGTTTCCTCTCTTGCCTGTACTTTAGAATGATATTGTATTATAATAATTTTGTTGACAGACAAGATACTGCATTACACAGAGCCCTTATCTTGGAATAAACAGATCAGTTTACTTATTGTATGCAGTGAAACTAGCCTGAATCATACACTGTTGGTTGTGTTTCAGAGGTAGTCAATATGAATCTGTATTATTAGTACAAGAATGACTTGGAAATATAAAAGTAAAAGTTAGGTCAGGGATAAGGTAGTTTATAAATATTTTCTGTGTGATCTTTTTGTTCAGTTGATTTTTAGAGATGACATGTCTTGATAAAGAAACAACAGATACCACTTATTGTGTTGTATTCATTACTGATTTCCATTTTCTCTGTCCTTGTTTCAGATGATGTCTGGTCTTTCACTGAAGAGAGTGGATATGATGAAGCATTTGGCCTTTGGCGTTGAAAATAAGGATGAACAGGTCAGATGAAATTTATAAAGATGAACAGGTCAGATGAAATTATTAAAGATGAACAGGTCAGATGAAATTAGTAAAGATGAACAGGTCAGATGAAATTAGTAAAGATGAACATGTGAGATGAAATTAATAAAGATGAACAGGTCAGATGAAATTAGTAAAGATGAACATGTGAGATGAAATTAATAAGATGAAATGAAATAAAGATGAACAGGTCAGATGAAATTAATAAAAATGAAATTAATAAAGATGAACAGGTCAGATAAAATTAATAAAGATAAAGAGGTCAGATGAAATTAATCAGGATGAACAGGTCAGATGAAATTAATAGATGAACTGGTCAGATGAAATTATTAAAGATAAACAGCTCAGATGAAATTAATGAAGATGACCAGATTAGATGAAATAAATATAGATGAACAGGTTAGATGAAATTAATAAAGAAAACCTTTTGGACATATTGCTCATAAAGTAAAATCTGAGTATAACAAAACTTTTTGGTTACCCAAGCCTTACTTACATATATATAGATAGTTTGTTTTATTTCTATAAAAATATACTTTGCTCCTCATTAAGTATGCAAATGACTTTGCACTAATCATTAATTGATGTGCATTATGTTCTTTACTGTTATGGCTTATTTTTGATGCTGAAAATAATTAGCAAATAAGTGTAATAATAGATGATTGGATTTTTATACATTTTAAATTATACTGATTAGGGAACCAAGTGAACACATGGAAAATTGCAATTAAATATTTTTGGTTAGTTTTTGTTGTGCAGGAAATAGAAATAATGCACATGAAAGACAGTATTAAAGTTCCTGCTGGTTTTAGGCATGTAACATTATTACATGAGCTGTTTTCCAATGTGGAGCTTTACGTGCCACTTGAACATCATAAATCTCTTGAGTATAAAAGAACCATGTTAATTTCAGGATCCAATTTCTAATGTCAATGCACGTCAAAAATTTCCCTGAAATAACTCAAATTCTCTTCCATCTACAGCCAAATTTTGTTTGTAGCTTGCACCTAAGGTAAGAAAGAACTCTGTCAATGTTGAGGTCAAGTGGTTATTGCCACTTTGATTGAAGGAAGAAACATGTTTTTCTGCACAATAACTATAGTTATAGTTTTGCAACATTTCAGCCAGACTTGGAGTGAGGAAGAATTCTTTCAATCACAGGGTCATAAGGTCAAAAGACTAGGTCACTGACTGAAAGCTGTAAAATGGTTTACACACAATACAGTAAAACCTCTCTGGAGAGACCATTGCTAAGACCACCTGTCCAGAAAGCTGCCTTGCCATGTACAGATTTATTAATTAATTTATTTTTATGATCCACCATGATTAGAGAACACTTGTCTTCAGAGACTATTATTTTTTAACAGAAAGGGTGGAATCTATAAACAAGTCTTACTTTATCAATAATTCTACCTCAATACTTGAACCAGACTGTGGAGATCTTGCACTTTGGGCAAGGAAGTAGGCTATCAATTTAGTGAGTCTAAGGATCAAAGGTCAAGTTTACTTTGTATAAGTCAAGTAGTTTATGCACAAAATGTTTATTTCTTCACCATGTTCCTTCACAGAACTTTGTGAATAACCAGCATGCCTCTTCATTTTTCATCAAAAAACCATTGATTGAGGTCACTGTCACTGAAAGAAGAAATATGTCTGTTTGCATAATAATTTTAGTTCTAGTCCACTTAACTTGATCAAGGTGTGCACAGGGATTGCATTTTGAGGTAGAGATGTCAAAATTTAGAAAACATCAACTGGGTACCTAATAATCCTAATGATTAATTATCTGGGTACCCAATCAAAAGGGAAACTATATTAAATGTGAACCTGAATTGCTTTGTCGTAAATTCATACATGCCAACTTTCTTCCTCCCCCCCAGGTATAAGCATAATTGTTGCTAATACAAGAGGTGAAAAAGTACAGTCTGAGTATGAAATTATATGCCATATTTACAATAAAGCATATTGAAAAACTATATTAAATTTTATATCTGCTACATACCTTGATCTGCAGTTAGCTAAAATCCTTGTCACAAATCAGCTAAATCCATGTGGATTAGTATGAAAATACAGACACAAGGCAAAGTGATAAATTATTGATACACATTATTCATATATGTACATCACATGTTTAGCTTTCGCTCAAAGTAAGTCAAGTTTACAAATTCTAAATGATGTATTAATATCACTGTAGAAATAGAATTCCTTTTTCAGAATTTGTTAAGCACTATTGAGTTGTTCTTTTCTATATGCAACATTTTCTTCACTTTAACAAAATCCCTCTCATCTAAGATTTTTCAGTCATATAACATCGAGTCACATTGATAAAGCTTGTTTCACTTCCTGATATTTGTTGTTATCAATATAGACTTGTCTGCTACATAAGTGTTTATAAAGCAATAATTAGTCTGTGACATGTTTTTTTAAAATTCAAGAAACTCATCTGGTTTTTAAAAAAAAATACAATGTACAATTACTATAAATAGAAAATAAGGAAACTGTTTAAGTATATATCTATATGGTTGCACACATTGACAGTATGAAGATGATCAGTAGATGGAGGTCTATGAGGGATTAATGTCACATGACATTAACCCCAAACTGTACTTGTTAATTTGTGTCTCACTTGCATTGCCAGATATAATCTTAGATTTTAAACTCAAAAACTTTAGACTCAGCTAACGTGGGTAAGTGAGAATTCCTGCCACTAGCTTCTCTTGGGTTGGTGGTTCTTTCTGGGGTTTTCCAGAGTTCTTCTTCTACCATTAATACTGGCCACCATGTATAGCCTATCTTGTGCTGAAAAATGGCGTTAAACCCTATAACAGCAACCAAAATGGTGACCACAGTGACAATTCTTGTTATCAATGCACCATGTGAATGGATTGTCACATCAACTAGGGGTTTTCACCAAAAAATTTCTTATAATGTCTAGTTGGTCTTTTGATAAAGTGGTAACATCTAGTATGGTACCACATCAGTGATCTTGAAAATCTTGTTTTTCTAATCATTTATACTGGAAAGTCATACCAGCATAGGGTTTTTCATGGAAAGATGGTATCTTGTTGGTTGTAAGTAAAATGTATGCTGACCTGATGTCCTGAAATATGGACACCACAGTGGCCACCTTAAGAATCCTACTGTTACTCATAGATGGAGAGTCTTATTGATATTGGGTTTTTACTTAGACTTCTTATTACGCAAGTTCATGCTAAATGAAAATAGTGGTGATATATATCATTGCAGCCATCTGGAAAATCGTGACATTGCGTACTACTTCTAAAGGAAAATTGTGTGGTGTTTGTGTGTGTGTGTGATTTGGATTTCTAATGTAGCTTGAATAATTTTTCAGTCATGTTGCAATGATGTCAGCAGTTTAACAGTTCATAGTGATGTCTAGCACTGGGGTATCATGCTGCAGATATATAGCATCATGTCCCACCCAGTCATATTATCCTGACACCAGTCTAACCAGTCCTGTCACTAAGCTCTTAATGTTAAATGCTAGTGAGGCAGCTGTTAGTACCATTTTTATAAGAATTTGGTATGACTTGGCTGAGGTTCAAACCAGCAACCTTCTGCATCCAAGGCAAATGCTCTAACCACTAGGCTACCTGAGTGGTGTTTCTAAATAAAAAGTCATACAAGCATGGTGTTTTCCCCCTCGAAGATTCACTGTCACTGAAAGAAGAAATATGTCAGATTCAGTTTGATGTTTAAATGGTCCAGAATGACTGCTGTCAATTTGACCTCAAATATGACTGCCACAAGAAACATACTGAAGAGTTTGTCAAATATTTCCAACTGGATGGTGATATCAATATGGAGTTTTATAAAAAGACTCTTCTAATGGTGTCTGGTTTTCCTAAATGAAAATGGTGCATTCTTACATTGAATTTACTGCCACAGTATCTGATTTTAAAATGTTGTTGCTTAAGAATATCAGGATGGTTTTAGCATTTGGTTTTGAAAAGTAAAAAGAGTCTTATCTTCAATTCCTGGGCAGTAGAGTGTCAGTCCTATCAAGGGAGTTTTGTTGATAATTAGATGTGCTTTAAACTTAAAATGTTACCTATATACCATTAAGCATATTCAAATTCGAATACATGGCTTTCTTGGTTTTTACAATGTTCAATCGTTTTCTGTTTCAACACAAACTTTACAAAACAGCTTTATGGAAAGGAATCAGAATACTGCAATGTTACATCTGTTACAGAATGCCTTTAATGTTATGCATGTTTCAGAATATCTTAAATGTTATATCTTTACAGAATGTCTGTAATGTTACATCTGTTATAGAATATCTGTAAGATTACATCTGTTGCACAATGCCTGTAATGTTACATCTGTTACAGAATGCCTATAATGTGATATCTTTTACAGAATATATGTAATATTACCTTTGTTACTGAATGCCTATCGTGTTACATCTGTTATTAAATGCCTGTAATGTTAACATATGTTACTATTTTGTATTATTTATTATTATCATTTAACTTTGAAATACATTTTGCAGAAGTTTATTGTTGCAGAATACTAATTGTAACTACAAGGGATGTAATACCCTGCAAAAATAACTTCTTGTTTGTGTATTTTTTTCTGCAGGTGATAAATGAGATGGAAGTGTATGCAAAGACTTTGGGGCAAAATGTGGCTGCTATTAACACCTTGCTATTGGAAATGGGTATAGAGGAACCAGTCAAGGAAAAGAAGTAGCAGCATATAATTCTGGGCCTTCTCACATGCATTTGTATTAGCAATTTGAACCATGGAAACATTCAAATGATCTCTGCATTAATCTTGCATACTTGTGCAAAACAGTATAAATAAACAGTTATGGCCTTATGTCACAAACCAATATGATTCTTGCCGAAAATTATAATTTATTAGGCTTTCATTCCTGCCATTTATCTGGATAATAAATCATGTGACTCAGTGATGTGGAAATAAGATAACTCAGACTTGTGGTTTGAAATCAAATTCTGTATGAGGCTTCATTTTCAGTGACCTTGGTCAAGTTTACTTTTCACCTTTTTCAGGCAACATCCTGTTGAGTTATAACCCCAGTTTGACTTTGAACTTTACACTTTACCTTTTGAAGAGTTTTATAGAGTGAAACCATATTTTGTTATGAGGCTTTGCAAAAAAAAGACTTTGGTTAGTTTCATTGGTTTTGTCAAATTCTGTGGATGTATGACCCCCATTTGATTTTAAACTTTGCTATTCCATTTCTGCTTTTTAACTTTTGATGGCTTTCATAGGATGAAACCAAATTTAGTACAAGGCTTCACTGATTGTCACTGCATTTTCAGCAAAATTCTTTGGAGTTATGTTACCCTGTATTATTAAAGTTCTGTTCTGTAACTTTTGAAGGACATTATATATTTAAACCAAATGTGGTATGAGTCTTTGCATAAGAAGATTTGGGTCCAGTTTGATTTCACTATTTTCTGGGAATTTTTTACAGTGTTATAGACTTTTTCTGACTTCAGGTATTTACCTTCATTTTCAGTTCAAAAGGTTTTGAAGGATTTGGGTACAGGTAGACTTTGGTCAAGTTTGATTTGAACTTTTTTCCACAAATTTTTTTGGACTTGTGGATCCAGTTTCTTTTAATGCTTTGACCTTCAATTTTTACTCAGAGGGCTTCAACAATTGAAACAAAATTTGGTATGGCACTTTACATTAAGAAGGCCTCAGGTGATATTTAATTTTAATTTCAACTAATTTCCTGAATATTTTAAGAAATTATGACCACTGCTTCACTTACAGCTTTGCCTTAAAATTGCATTCTATGTGCTGATGTGTCTGTATTTTATGGATACATTTCTATTAGGTTCTAAATTTCATCAGTTCTGGAAGGGCTTCTAATGTCATCATAGAAGGATGTTTGTTTGTTGGGTCTATTTAATTTGTGGTTTGTAGCAAGCTAAAAATTGGTGAAAATTGGTATCCCACCAATGAAAGTATATCCACAGTAGATTTTCAGGTGTTGGTAATGAAATGCTTTTTAGCATAAATAAATATTTTTAATTCAGCTTGACAACCAATGAAAGTGCATTCACAGTAGATTTTCAGGTGTTGGTAAAAGAGAGATTTTTTTTAATATACATAAATGTATTCACTTTTTTAAGATAAATTTGGGACATTGATTTTTGCCTGCTGTGGTAAAACTTGTTTGAATTATGGCTGAAAAGCATAGTTTGAAATTAGTGCATGCCCATCTGTCTGATGTCAATCATTTTCATGTCTAATTAACAAAAAATTGACATATCTGGTCGTTAGTTCAGGTTGTTTGTCCTTTGAACCAGAGAGAAATTTAGGGTATGGGGAAAAAACTGGTGATCAGGGTATATTTTGTAGAAAAGTGCTTTATATGAAGGAAGAGCATTAAGATTTTAGGAAAGGTTGCCAACATAAGATATTAATCTGAAAGTGTTGTGGCATTTAGATGTAACATAGACAGAGTGTAAGATTCTTAAAAACAAAATGTATTAAAATAATGTTTGAAAAAGCATTGGTTAAACAAAAAATTCAGTATATTGTTACAGTGCTTGCCTAATGTGATGTCATGTTACATTAATACCCATTAGGACACCATATTGGATATTTTACATGGTAACATACCAAAATATCAGAAATGGATCAAAGCACTATCATATCAGTAATGTCATGTGATAATGTCTTTGTCTAGTCTCCCATGAGGCCCTCAAAAGAAAACAAGAACAAAAAAACCCACACTTCAAACAATTAAACAATTCATTTAATTCCCTCTCCAAAACAGTTGTAAATACACATGCAAACATTTGAAAGAAAGAGTCCTATTAAACACTGGCAGAATTTATGAAAATTGAAATATTAAGTGTGTACCCGTAATTGCACATTGTGTGTTTTATTTTTATGGTAAATATGACATTGATTGTTAGTGGTACATGAATGCAGAGTCAGTAATTATTGTTCCTTATTTTTAGGGCATATCATTCTAGTAAAGCATTTATACTACAAGAATCTTCACCTTTGATTGCACAATATTTGGGTATTTTTCAGTAGATTGTCACATGTTAAGTAGATGAGTGCACCATTTCCATTTTAAGAGTGTGATTTGCTTTACAATTTATTTTTAAACCAATTATACAGGATATTGATTTATTGATATATGACAGTAATATTCACATGGTTTTCTTTTTTTCTTATGTTTTTGTAGTTATGGTTATTATTTGGGCACATTGGTATTGAGTTTTGACAAGGATTTAGATACATTATAAATATATAGTCTAATTGCAAGGTTTGCACATTCAATATAAGTTTCCAAGTACAATTCTGTTATTTATGTTACTCAGAAATTTATAATAACAACAAAAATAGAACATTGAACTTTGATATTTTCAGTTTTATTGTCCTCTTGTGAATTTGATAACTTAAGGTATTGATTGGATGTCAGTATGTGTTAGTTTTTGACAGTCTGAGGCAGTATGACCCAAGGTTTTTTTGTGGGGATTTTTGCCTTGTGGATCTGTTTGTTTATCAGAATGTGGAATTTCAACATAATAATTGTTACCTTTGATAAATTATATGTATGTTTGACATTTAGCATAATATATTTATATTTTGGACATCCATTGTTAAATTGTTAGAAATGGGATGCTGTTTTTAATGTCCCCCATATATTTCTCTTTAGAAAACTTTTTCATACTTTAGGATATTGATGTCAAGGCCTGTAATTCACAAAGTCTGTATAGGGCCTGGAACTCTTTCAGTATGTTAACTAGACCCATGTGTCATTACAAAACACTTCAGTACAGTACAATAAGGGTTTGTGTATAATGTGCATACAACCGAGAACACTGTCAACTTATATAATAATCTGCTAAATCTGGGTCCCTGAACCTTTTTATATGCTGTTGTTGTTGGGCTTAACGCCATTTTTCAGCACACGATAGGTTATTCATGGCGGCCAGTATTAATGGTGGAGGAAGAAACCGGGAAATCACCCGAAAGAACCACCGACCCACGAGAAGCTACTGGCAAGCTTTCTCACATATCCACATTCGCCGAATCCTAGACTCGAACCCACATAGACAGAGGTGAGATGGCAGTGATCCGTAACGGACAGCACTTTAGACCACTCGGCCACTCAGGGCCCCTTTTTATATGCAATCAAAAACATTTTATACACTGATACCTTGTTATAATACTGTTTAGGGAAGCCTATAAAGTGTTCCATGTTATAGATGAGTTTTTCTTGTACTGTGTACATTATACAATGATTGCTCAACATAATGATGTTCAAAGGAGCCCTCAAAGTATACAGTGTTATAGGTGAGGTTACCTTTTACTGGACTATGTTATACAATTATCCCTCACTTTAACACTATTCAAGGGATCCATAGAAATGTACTGTTACAGGCAGGATTACCTTATCCTGAGGTATATTGTACAACAGTTATCTGTCACTATAACACTGTTCAGGAGAGCCATTAAAGAGTAACATGTTATAGGTAAGGCTACCTTATAGAAGGGCATGTTTTAAAATTATCACTCACAATAAAACTTTAAACATAAATGTGTATCATGTTATAGATGAAGCTTCCTTGGGTACATTATACAGTTATTCC